TCTTTTGTGTTTTTTATTTATTGTATACGTTGATTGAAAAAATCAAAATAGTAAAATTGTATATATTGATTAAAAAAATCAAAATAAGAAAAATCAGAAGATTTATGTTCCATTTAGAATTGTTATTATAAGATATATTTTAAAATAAATTATCATCTAAAAATATATATTAGATATTAAAAACATATTTATATCATAAATAAATTAAACTGCATTTTTATAAAATTTAACATTTTTATTTTTTTATTTTTAATAGTGTTAAAAAGATGGACATTTAAAATAAAATTTATAAAATTTAACATTGTAAATTATTCAATAATATGTGATCTGATAACTCAAAAATTAAGTTATAAAATGATAATTATATTTATTTATATACTCTAACACATCTTACATTCAGGATAAATTCATAAGTTTGTTGAAAGATAAATTTATATTCTAGTCACGATTTTGAAATTATATAAAGAAAAAAAAAATCGTGTACCTCATGTTAAAGGAAGTATATATAAAATTTTTAATAAAATATAAGTTCATTAAGATAATATACATAATACTTCAAAAAAAAACTTTTAAATTCTAATAAAAAAATTGTCTTGTAGATTACGACAGTTTATAGTAAATCGTCGCAATGCTGAAAAGTTTGTGATGGTTTATGACTAACTGTTGCAATGTTAAAAAAAATTTGCGACGGTTTATGATTAACTGTCACAATGTTAAACAAATTTTGCGACAGTTTACGATAAACCGTCGCAATGTTGAACAATTTTGCGACGGTTTTGAAAAACTATCGTATGAAGGGTCGTAATATCAAAGCGACGACGGTTTCTAAATAACCGTCGCAATTTGTCCATCGCAATTTATCATTTTCCTTGTAGTGACTACTTCACTACGAAAAATGTGTGAGTTTTGATACACACTATTCAACCCCCTTCTTGTGTTTATCTTTTCTCCATACTTAGAATGACTCAAAATGGATGTCCCAACTATGTATTCAATTGTGAAAATCTTAAGAAGACTATGAAGTTCACTTGTGTGATATATTGAGTTTTAGGATTTTATTTGAGGAGATCTCAGTGGCTATTAAAACCCTAAAGAAATATCTACATTCTTCATGAAGAAGTCAAGAGCTTATATGGATCGGATCATCTGTAAAATTGCAAAAGAAGTTGTAAATGATGTTGATCTTAAATGTAAAACATAGTTGTTGTAGTTTGCACATATCTTAAGTTGTAGCCATGATATTAAGCCACATTTTATGGCTATGGAAAGCTATAATAATTACCTACATTTTTTATGAAGAACCCGTGCACCAAAAAGGCCTATGGCAATCAAGATGAAAATGTTGTTGAGTTATAACACTATCACAGAGCAATATTTTGAACATATCTGGACTTATATACATGATTTTAAGCCAAACTTGGTGGCTGTGAAAAGATGGAAAAATTGTCTACAACTTTGATGAAGAAGTTATGGGCTAATAAGATCTTTATTGTGACACCCTTACTACCCCAACATATATATTGTAATAATATAAATAAACTAAGGAAATAAAATATTCAATGTTGGTAAAAGGGTTCACATAAAAACCTTTAGAAACATTCTTCAATATCCAGAATAGTCTGAAAAAGAAACTTGGAAAATAAAACATAAGAGGTTACAACTCCTACTAGAGTGTAGCCTTTCTAAATTTTTCTTTTTAGTTTTCATTTCTTGGCCTCTACTCTTTATTGTATGGTTGCTAAGCCTTGGTGAGACATAATCCTTTTTCAAGCCATCACACTTGGAAGGAAGGACTAATTGAGACATATTGGCTAATCTCAAAGGGGTCTATACTTGAAGAGATTGAGGTACACCTAACCTGAGTGAAACACCTTGGATAGGCTCACTTGTTTGTTGTTTTTGCAGCCAAGAATTTTTTTGATTTTTAGGTTACAATTAGAGACGGATTTTTGAAGCAAACTAGTGACGGATTTGGAGAAACTAGTGACGAATTTGGAGAACTTGGTGAAGAAGTGGTGTAGACCAATTTGGGACATTTCCTCTTAACTTCAAGGCTGTTCCAAACCTGTCCTAGCTGCCCTTGGTGGAAATTCTTCAAGAAGATTTGATTTAGATTGCTTCCTTTGTCTTGTAACTCTTTAACCCTACTTGGGTTAGTTTTGTTTAAATTTACTATTGTATACAAACCTACATTTAGGAGTGGTTGTTTGGGACATTGTTTAAGTCCCACCAATTCCTAAATAGTTCTAAATAAAGACTCATAGACTCGGTTAGTACATGTGGAAGGGTCCTCAAAGGCTTTAAGTGCCATTTGGGCTTCCATCTCATTCACATTCCACACAACATCTCATAGTTCAATTTCATACACATATCAGATAAGTCCAAAATAATGGGTTTCATACACCTCAAACAATTCACATCTAAATCACCAATTTTTATCAAGTAATATAGCAATAACATTCATAAATAATATAATCCTCAACGGAATTACCAATTTAATATGATTTCAACATAAACAGCAAAACCCCTAATTGTTCCAAAACCTAGCTCACAGGCACTTTTCTACAATTTCGTTCTCTCTCCCAGATCATCATTCTTACAAATTAATAGCATATTTATAATCCTCAACACATACAGAATCTAATGGGATCATCAATTCCTCAAACAGAAATCATCCAATTTTTCACAACCTAACTAACAGACACTTTTCTATAATTTCGTTCTCTCTCCCAGAGCATCATTTTTCCAAATAAAATATATATTCATAATCCTAAATTCATATAGAATCACATAAGACCAATAATTTTCCAAACAGAAATAATTATAAAATTACTCAAAATCTTAAGGGTTCTTCTCTACCTAATTCCCTCATGCAACTCATATAAATAATTTTATTTTCCCCCGTACCTGGATAAACAGTAGTTGAACTAAAACAGGAATCTCTTGGTCTCCTCCTCTAAATGCCCCTTGGTCTTCAGAGAGAAGAAAAGGGAAAGAAGAGAGAACAGAAGATAATAGGAAGAGAGAATGAGAGATGTGTGAAAATGAGAGGTGAGGGGCGCTATTTATGGGATTTCAGGCTCACCTACCGGAACAGCACGTTCCAAAAGTGGAACGGCCGTTCTGGGCCCTTCGAAACTACGCAAAATTCTTAACTGGAATGGCCCGTTTCAAAACCAGAACGGCCCGTTCTCAAAACCAGCAGAACGACCCGTTCTCCCACCAGAACAGCCCGTTCACAAAACCAGAACGGCCCGTTCTGCTTCTCCAATTTTGGGCATTTTTCTTATTTCGGAACGGCCAGTTTCACTTTTGAAACGGCCCGTTCCGGGCAATCAATTGGGCCTCTGGCCCAGCGATTTTGGGTTGTTACATTTATCATGACCAAATCATGTCTATAATATGAAACAATTATTTGTCCAAAACAACATGATGTTATTGTAATGTTTGGGGAATATCTTGTGCTGCATAGGTTCAAATATCTTGATCAAGGACAAATTTATCTACAAGTTTTATGAAGACATCAAAAATTAATTTGGCAATTTGAAGGGTCAAAATACTTAATTACAGAGACTATATCTATAAAGTTATGTATCAGAGAAAATAGAACTCAAAACACGTGCAGAAGGCACCTTGTCTAAGAAGCCTTGCTGATGTACAACAAATATATGATGTCAGCACAGAACTTGAGGAACAATACATGCGCCAACGACTAGTTCATCCCACATGGCATATATATATATATATATTAGTCAAATATAGCTGCAAAAATGAGAGGAGATAGCCTACACCATTCTAAGCCATTAATCAACTCCTTTCCACTCTAACACTTCTCTAAAATTGAAAATGAAAAAAATGAAGTGAAGTAAAACAAGATTACCATGAAGAGTCAAACCCATGAGTGTTATTTAGTTGTATATTATCCCCCAACACTTTCTCTTTGTATGTAACACGTTTTTATCCGAAATCACCCAAATGGGTAGAAGTTGGTTGTGAGAAAAGTGATATGGAGAAGCCCATGAAATGTGGGTAGCTTAAAGAGAGTCTCTAAGATGATAGTCTGAAAAGGCTAGAATAAAATAATACTCAAACACCCTATATAGGTGAAAGAATACTTATATTTTGTCTCTCTCATGGCCAAGTGGGTTTCATTGTTGAGTGGATGCCTAGAGAAGTGGAGAATGTGTCTATAGAGATACAAAACACTCCAAGCCAAAACCAGGAAGGTGTTATGGTGAAGGAGTTGTTGAAGTCCAATGTGTCCAACAAGGAAATATAGAAGAAATTTGGTATTATTGTTGATGTCTCCAACAAGGATGTTAGTTATGCTAATGGAAATGTGAGAACTAGATGTAGCCCTAGGTTTGGGGTGAATTGACGAGAGGTTGTCGAAGCCTCTATCAAACACAAA